CCGGGAATCGAACTCTTAATAACTAGACCACAGGTGCGGTCCGTATATGGTAATTAATCTCCTAAATTATAATTAATCTATTAATCAGACTAATAATTGTATCATTATAGCCCTTAAGCCGGGATAGCTCAGTCGGTATAGCGACGGGCTTGACGGCTGGAGTTCAATTCCCGGCAGGGGTAAATAATTTTTCTCTGCTCCATGGGACCCACCCAGCCTCTTATCCAATGGATAACTGGGGGCTGTTTCCCCGGGGATAAAGAGTCCTGGACTTGAAGCTGACCACTCACCTCCATTTAGTGCCAAGGTCACGAATGATGGAGTTATGCCTTAACTCCTCCATACATCTTCGTGGTTTGTTGCTTAATTAATTTAGTTCAGGTATAAATTTACCTTGTTACTTATAGTCCTTAAGTATATAGATTTTCAGAGTTCTTACTTCCGTTTCCATGAGTACGCCTCACGTTGGGCTATAGAAGTACAGTACCTTGAGTACAAAATCTCTTGTGTTTCCCGGTAACAGAATTGTCTTAACTTCCATAAACAGCACTGGCGCTGTAGCAGTGGGCACCCTTTCTTGTCCATAACTGTCGTGCTTGACAGCAATGCCTTTTCATGTTTATTTTGATGGCAATCCTGTAATCTGAGCTTAGGACTTGATCATTACATGTCGCATTACAAGATTACCCCCCCCCTTTTAAATTTGCGTTAGGACCTACGCCTTGTTTCCGTGGAAACAGTGGCAACACATTCTGACCGTAAGGGATTTAGATATTAGCAGACAGAAAGCTAATGAAATATCCGAACAGAAGAGGGACCCAAGGAAGGATGACGTGAAAAATTCTAAGGAATAAATTGATTGCATTGTTGACGGAACTGTAATATAAATATTCTATGTGGACGTTATAGAAAGGCAACAGGATGCTTAAATAAAATATAAGAAATGCATGTTTAAATAATAATGGCTCATACAACTTCATCGAAGGTTTGTTACGTGGTCTTTATTTTTATGTGGCAAATAAAATGGCAGTTATCATATTCAGAAATTCTGGCGTTTTTGTTGACCTTTTCCATCGTCCGGTATTCTAGAAACTAGAAAACTCGACGGTTCGGAAACAATGTTTTTCCGTCCTCATGACGGGGGGGGGGAAGACACCTACTCAGTTGGGTCCCTTAGAAAGGTCTAATCTCAATCACGGGAGTGAATGGGAGCCAACTGAGTAATGTCTTCCCACCCTCGCCTGAGGACGGAAACAGATACTGTTTTGGAAATGTCGTTTTCTAGTATCTAGAATACCAGGACGATGGAAGCAGTTTAAAACCCCAGTATTTCTGAGTGTTATACACCATCGTCAGAAACCTTTAAAACCTACCAGTATCATATTGTTAACTATTTTAGCCTACTTACCTTCGTATGCGATCTCCATCCTGTCTGTGTGTCTGTGCATTCTCCCATCAACTTTGGATGCCTGGGTCAATTGGTGAAACTTCATAGTAACAGAGCCCATCCCAAAGGCGTAATTCACAAATCCCCCCACCACTCTGTGTGTCTGAATATGTATCTATCCAATCGTTGCTAGACAACGGCCCGGTAAAACCCGCTTATCGTTGCTAGGCAACGGCTCAGTAAACACGTTTCCGCGGCAACGAATACATGCTACAATACAGGGTGGGCCAGACTCAATTAGGCAGTATTTGATCAATAATAGCTAATCAATCCAACAACACACGGGATAATGGAAAAGTACCTTTTGTTGTCGATATATGGCTGCATCATACGGTATGCTGTGAACGAGGCCAATAACGAGGACGACTTCGACAGGCGACTTGAGTTCGCCGAGTTGATGCTGACCAAGTTTCAGGAGAACCCTGACCTTATCCGGAATATTGTCTGGATTGATGAGGCCAAATTTCACACATCAGGATCGGTCAACAGATACAACAGCGTGTTTTGGCGGCCAGAGAACCCCAGTGCCACCATTGAATACGTTTTCCAGTCCCCGGGAGTGATGGTATGGGGTGGTGTGACGTACAAAGGACTGATTAGCCCGTTCTTCCTTGAAGGTTGCGTCTCGGGGGAAACCTACCTAAAGCTGCTGAGGGAAAGTGTCATCCCAGAACTTCAGAGGAGAGAGAACTTTGATGAACTGTTGTGGCAGCAAGATGGAGCCCCAACACACTTCGCCAATAATGTTCGGGCGTTCTTGCATCAAGTTTTTCCTCAACGCTGGATTGGCCGTCGAGGGCCTGTGGTGTGGCCAGCCCGATCACCCGACATCACCCCACCAGACTTTTTCCTTTGGGGTTACCTCAAAGACAAGGTGTACGCTAATCCCATTGACAGTGTGAAACATCTGTGTGAGGTGATTGTTCAGGAGTTCAATAAAGTTCCGGTGAATATGTGAAGATAGGCGTGTGAAAATGTTGCTTTGCGTCTGCAAGCCTGTGTTGACTTAGGTGGTGCCCAGGTTGACCAGCATCTTGAAAATCGATGACTTATGTGTGTGCGATTCCATTTTTGTAACCATTGCAATTGTTAACATTTGTCAATAAAAAAACATTTAATCAAAAACTGCCTAATTCTGTCTGGCCCACCCTGTAGAATAATTGTTGCATGTGTCATTTTATATGCGGTCCGCCTCTTATCCAAGGACAGCCTGTGGTCTGTCTATGTATTTCACTACCGTTGCTAGGTAACAGCTCGTTAAAGATGTGGTCGCAGAAACGAGAGATTGTTGAAGGCGTCGTTTTCTATGCGGTCCTTGTGGTATCAAAGGCAAGTAGGTGATTAGTTCTCCCCAGAACTTCTTTAAATATTTCATCACTCCACAAATTATTTATGAAGGAAACTTTCTTAGTGTCCGTTGCTTAACCTGCTAACTAATTCTATGGAGTACAATCTCTCCATTCAGAAGCTATTGGGCACTTGGGTTATTAACAATTTCTCCGGCTTTTATGGAACTCTGTGGTTCAGTACCTTGTTCACAAGGACCGTGAATTGTTGCTATTCAAAGCCAGATTGATTCAGCACATCTCCCAGCCGATTTATTTAAGATCCATATTAATTTTATCCTCCCATTTACGCCTAGGTCTTCCAAGATGTCTTTAATCTTACGTTTTTCCCGTATGAACTTTTAAGCCCGTCTTGACTAGTTCAAGCGCGCTACACGCCCAGACCATCTCATCGTCTTAATGACATGCGTTTAGAGTTACAAATTATGAAGCCTTATATGTGCGAATTTTCCCCATTGTGTTGTTTATTAATCATATTTAAGAATATGAAAAGTTGGTTTCATATATATTGTCACGTGTAAGGGAGTACAAGTGACAAAATGACGGGTTCTAGTTCGGATGATTGGATTTATTGACAGCTTGGTTACAGGCACTATCTTGATTACACTCTAATACACAGCGCTATCACTGATTTACATACATCTTATAATCCACTGCACCGTTGTACACATAAAGTCTTCTAAATCACACTTTAGATCTTCACAGGTCTTCTACGAACTCTCAAGTATTCCCAATACTCTCCAAATACTCCATTCTCAATACTCAACACTGCTCGTAACTGCTCTTAACTCATACTCAGTACTCAATACTGGCTGAATAGTGTTTGCTTCTCCTTAAATAGTCTCGGCACGGACCACATAGAAAACACATTGCTTCTCGGCAACAGATATAAGTATCGCTGTCAGGCGTGTCTACCCATGCATTGCCTATCAATGGACGCCCTACTGTTGCGCGACTACACAGCCTAGCGGGGAGGGATATTTACCGAGCGTCGCGCGGCAACGGGATGAGTGGGGGTATGTGACGTCACTCGCACTTCCTGTTGCGCTATCCAAACGTTCACAGAATTGTCGCCTAGCAACGAGCCGATACAATCCGCAACTCTCACGTTGTGCGCGTGCCCCGAGGCCTCTGTGGCTCAACAGTTCCTACATAGAGCAAATACGCCACAATATTTANGACTACACAGCCTAGCGGGGAGGGATATTTACCGAGCGTCGCGCGGCAACGGGATGAGTGGGGGTATGTGACGTCACTCGCACTTCCTGTTGCGCTATCCAAACGTTCACAGAGTTGTCGCCTAGCAATGAGCCGAAATAATCCGCAACTCTCACGTTGTGCGCGTGCCCCGAGGCCTCTGTGGCTCAACAGTTCCTACATAGAGCAAATACGCCACAATATTTACTTTTTGGTTTTGTGATGTAAACTTACCTATCTGCTTAACAGTGCGTGTAAAATTCACTCATCTTGGAGGTGAGCGCATCATATACCGACATAAAAGCTTTGCCATTCCGTCTAAAAGTTTACAGATCATATTACTAAAGTAGGTCCAAGCGAACAAGCTTATCATTCGACATTCAGCGAATTTTATTTCCGAGAGTGATCTTGTGCTTTAGGTCAGATATGCCAAGCGTATTTAATAATTCAATTAAATTCTTATTTATTTGCATGTTAACTCAACAGTCCAAGCACCAATTACAGAAAGAGTATGAGTGAAAGTACAAAAAAAATGTACCAAACGAGGCCATTTATAATATTTGCGTGATAATAAAGTAGTAATAATAACAAAAATCAAAGTTATAATTTAGGAGGTAATAATATAATGATTCAATTCTTGTTTATTTACACGCAAACTTAACGTTCCATACGCCAATTACAAAGTTAGCACGAATACGTAAACAGAAACATAGCAAGACACTTACAAACAAAATGCAAAATAAGACAGTTTATATAATAATAATAGTAATAATAATTCCATGAACGGTGGAAATTATCTTTAACAGGTTTGAAAAGTAAAATAAGTTCATTTGCAATGGGTTTATGCCATTATGCGGCGAGAAAGGATAATATTCATACATACATAGATACTATTAAAACAATTATTACATTGTAAAATACTATGGTATGTAGACCCGTTGCTATGCAACGACCGGGAAAAACGACTAGACAACGGCCTTTATTAGGCAACAGTCCATAAACAACAACAGGAACGGTGTTCTCTGTGATGTCCATGTCGAGGTGTCATAAGCGGTACAAGTTGAAGGTACGGTCAGTCAGTACAGTAGAGTGAGTTGCTTGGTGAATGAATAGGTTAGTTGTGGGTGAATCGCCAGCTGATAAGAACGTGAGCATAGAAGAAGAGGACATTACTTTGGTCTGTCATCAGGCAACGACCGGTGAAAATACAGCATACTGAGAATACTTAGCATATGCTATAGTGAATTGCAGAATGTAAATTAGCGATAGCACATCTTTCTTGTAAATGCTGGTGGTTTATAACTGTAGATACACTACATACCACATATAATTTTTTGAAACAACACAAAATCAAATAAATGGCAGGGCATGGAATTGCCTCCTACTTGTAGGTTACTTGTGGTCGTGTATTGTCCCTGTAAAGAGAAAGAAATGTCTGTCAATAATCTCAAGTTATTACAACATTTAAAACAAAATTGTAAATATATATACCATCTCTGCGTTACCATAAAAGAAGTTGTGTGATGACTGGAATGTAAATCAAAGGAAGAATCATTTCCTAACTGAGGCAATATCGCATTTGCCTGGAGACAAGGTCTATCGTGACTAAAGTCTCCGTGTTTTCATCAGTCCCTCCTTGCATACTGTCCATATAGTGATTCACCAACAGTGAATTCTGTATAGTCTAAATTACCAAATATTGCCTCCCGTGTGTGAGCGATCTCATTCTATCCCTGTTCATCATTTCGAGATTCTGTATACAGAAGCATTTAAAAGAAACTTATAGTAAAATCCATATGGGTAAATATTTGTCTGATAATTTTCCTATCAAAATGGTCTAAGAGAAGGAGATGCTTTATCACCAATGCTTTTCAACTGTGCTTCAGAATATGCAATTGGGAATTTCCACGAAAACCAATGGGACTTAAATGGCACACATCAGCTGCTGCTCTATGCTGAGAATGTGAATCTAGTGGGTGATGATATAGATAACATAAAGAAAAACACATAAATTTTAATTGACGGTAGTAAGGAAGTTTATCTAGAAGTAAACGTAGAGAAAACTAAGTATATGTTGCTGTCTCATTACCAAAATGCAGGGCAAAATCATGACATAAAGATAGGACACAGATGTTTTTAAAATGTGACACAGTTCAAATATTTTGGAAAGACTATAACAAATCAAGACCCGATTCAGGAGGAAATTAAGAGGAGATTGAATTAGAGTAATGCTTGCTATCATTCAGTCCAGAACCTTTTGTCTTCTCGTCTGCTGTCTAAAAACATAAAAAATATAATATACAAAACTATAATTTTGGGTGTGAATCTTGGTCTCTGACATTAAGCGAGTGACATAGACTGAAGGTGTTTGAGAACAGGATGTTGAGGAGAATATTTGGACTGAAGAGATAAGAAGTGGCATGAGGACGGAGAAAACTGCATAATGGGGACTTTCGTAACTTTTACTTTTCTCCAAGTATAATTAGAATGATCAAGGCAAGGAGGATGGGAGGGGCAGGAAATGTAGCATGAATGGAGGTGAATAGGAATATACGAATATATGATGAATGGCAGAAGGAAATGGGACACAAGAAGACCAATATGTACGTGGGTGGGATAATATTAAAATGGATCATAGAGAGATAGACTGACACTTCAGAGATAAAATAAAAAGGCTACTTTCTCCGTTCAGAGGAACTCCACATAATGGCAGAAGAATCAGCAAGATAGTATATATCCTGTTGCCTCCAGGTAGCCACATCCTCACAGGCTAGTTAGCCAGATCCTTGAAGCCAGTGCTATCGGTTAGAGAACGCAGACGAAATTACAAGAACAGAATAAAATGTAGAGTTGAGGGGATATGTTAGCCAGAAAAGAATTGTTAACTCTTGAGTTGCTTGGTGCTTGCACCCAAGTGACCGAAATAAGCTAACTAGGGACAAAAACATGTTTTTATGATCTAGGATTTCAATATATTCCACAAGGCTTTAATTTCATCTTTTGGCAGTATTTTCTGGGGTACTGCCTCAAGACAAATAAGTTTTCAAAATTGTTTAAAACAAAAGTAACGATGTCAGGTACTGTTTGAAAACACCAGAAGGACTTCGTAATTCTTTAAAGCAGGACTGCAACTATTCAAAAGGTTCGGCCAGAAAGCGAAAGCTGCTCACAAGGAGATAGGGGACACTTGGAATTTTCGGCTAAGAGACAGCGAATTACAGTGATTAACAACAATCGAAAAACCTCTTATCCCTGACTGTGAAGTGAATTAGTCGACCTTATGAAGGTACAGTTGACCAAGTGATACTCCAATATTCTTGAACTAAAAGTCACTTCAAAACTAAATTTCTGAAATATTAAGCACAATTATGAAACGTTTCTATCTATTGCTTATTAGACGTTGAAATTATGGGAACGATGTTTTAATTCTATCCTTCTGAAAAATTAACTTTCCTTTATTTATTCGTCTGAATAATTTCTATTTACCAGTGCTTGGTGCCTCCTCAAATATTTAACTCTTTCAAATCTGAGTACAGAGTTAAGAGAAGTCACACAGTTATTTTTTTCTAACCATTCCAGCAACTGGTGCATCTTTCGAACTGTTATTCTCTGCTCTATTGAGGGTACGTACGAGTAGTTAACCCACGAAATATGCAGATTCAGGGGAGCCTTAAGTTATCATTTATGACAATTAAGGTTAACACTGTTTAAGACTCAGAAAACAGTCCGAATATTACTGATTCTGAAATAGCCTCTTTCATTTGAGAAAATAAAAAGGGTCTTATGAGATTAGTTGATATATGAGTATATGCAATAATACACGTAACATAAACATAATATGACATGTAGCCTAAAAGCCAAACTGGTGAAGTGCACGGTCCTCAGTTGTCCTCTCTATAAAACTTCGGGTCGGACCGCAGAGAAAACGCTTCCTCTAACAGCTCCTCTGTTGTGTACCTGCTTTTCCTATGTGTCTGTATATGTACCCCCCTCATTGTTGCTAGGAAACGGCTTGGTAAACACGTTCTCGCAACAACGAATACATACGTAACGATAAAAGGATTGTTGGACATATCTTTTTCTATTGAAACAAATTAGACGATTAGTTCTTCCCAGAACTTGTTCTTTGTTTATATTTCCTCCCTTTTATTTATTAGTTTAAATTCAGTTCAAGTGTGCACAGTTGTCTTGTACGATGTGTGCACTCAATGCACTCAATTTTCAAAATGTTTACTAACTCCCTTTGCCTGGAGATTTGCCTGAAACTTTCGAAAATGTCACGCTCCCTCATCGATGTATATGTACTCCGTCAGCCGTAACTTTCGTAGGTCACTCCACAACTCTTGTGTACTGTCCAAAGGTAGGGTGGCGGGTGAAAGACGAATTGGAGAGGATTCGGAAGGAGACGGTAGTATTTGAGCTATCTATATTTTGCAATGAGGGTCCGAGGAACATGAGTCAGACAGCTCGTATCCCAGCTGGGATTCGAACCCATCATTTCCGAGAATTCGAGTCTAGAACTCAGTCTGTTCGGTTACAAAGCTATAACTCTTCTGACTTGTACTGGGACGTGCCCAGTTCGAATCTTGGCCGGGGAATCTATTGTCTTGACCGAGTTTTCCGAGGCTTTCATGCCACAGTCCACGCAAATGACGGAATAGGCACAAAATAAGTCCAGAGCAGCTTCCTGTCGCATGTTGTCAAATTCACAACTGAATTTTGACTAATTATGTTACCATTCGGCGCTATACAGTCTGAGTTGCTGACAGCTTCAGTAAGGAACGACAAAGAAGTAAATCAATTGAACGGAAGTGAGGACCCAGGGGCCCGTCGCACACCAGTTCGAGGAGCCACTAGCGCGGACAGGACAGGAGGATGGATAATCCTCATGGCCGGTCTTCGAGGTGTGGATAATAGAAATATCACTGCCCTTGCCAGGAAATGAACCGCCCAGTGCCTAGAGACAGTGATGTTCACTATGTGAAGAGTCGGCTGTCAAGAAACTTACCACTTGCAGGTATATGAAGATTATGGTCAAAATGATGAACACCAAGAAACAGCCATATTCTGTCTGAAACACACAACAGACAACCACATAAGATTTAATCGTAATTGTCACTCGCCTACTGATTCATTAATTGAGTTTCTGAAACTTGCCTCTCTGAATATATGGCGATTTAAAATGAGTATATTTATATCCGAATAATGGTGTTTGAGAACAGTTTGCTGAAGAGAGGTAAAGTGACGGGAGGGTGCAGAAAACTACATAACTAGGAGCTTCATAACTTGTACTCTTCTCCAAGTATAATTAGAATGATCAAGTCAAGGGGATGAGATGGGCAGGTCATGTCACACGAATGGGGAGAACAGGAATGCATGTAAGATATTGGTGGGAAAGCGAGAAGGAAATAGAGCACTAGGAAGACAAAGACGTAGACGGATTGACATATATTGAAATGGATCTTAGATAGGATGAGACGGTATGGACTGGATCGATCTGGCTCAGGATATGGACCAGTGGAGGGTTCTTGTGAACACGGTAATAAACCTTCGGGTTCCATAAAACGCTGGGAAGTTCTTGAGTAGCTGCATAATTAGTGGCTTCTCAAGAAGGGTTCAGCTCCCTGAGTGAGATATATTTATATCCGTTTAATATGGATCCATTTTTTTCTTCCAAATTTGACCATAAGGAAGAACCAAGACCAAGATAACCAGTGCACCAGTAAATAGCCATACATATATTCTACATACATTTCAATCTTAATTCCAGTCTTAACCTTCATTTAATTAATTTACATTAATTTTAACTAATTGTAATACATACCGACCGACTGAGCGACCGCCGCTTTTCGACGAAGTTAGTGCCAAATTTAGCGGATAGAGGGATGTCGGGTGGTCAGCGCAACGAATCCGCACGTCCGTTAATTTCGGTTTTCTAGACCGGAGCCGCTATTTCCTTGAAATAGCTCCTCAGTTATCCTCATGAGGCTGAGTGGACCCCATTCCAGACCCACTACTTCTCAGAAAATGTGGTAGGTCCGGGAATCGAACCCAGATCTCTGGATCTGTAAGCAGGAGGAACTCTGACCACTATACCACAGAGGCATAGTTCGCTTGCGGGCTCGAGCCACAGCTTAAGCTGAAGAGTAAATAACCAGAGGTTTAGTTACTAAGCAAGTATCACAAATCATAGAGTCAAATTTGGAAAAATATATGGATCCATAATGGCCGCGCCATAGCTAAAACGGTTAGTTGCTGGCTTCCCACAGTGGCGACCGGGGTTCGATCCCAGGTCTGGTCAAGTGGGATTTGTGGTGGACAAAGTGGCGCTGGGGCGGGTTTTCCTCGAGTACTTCGGTTTCCCCTACCAATCTTTATTCCACCAAATTCTCCAACATCATAATCACTCGGGGCAGGCTACAATAGACCAATCAGTGGCCGCCGTCCCGAGTGGACCCAGTCGGACTCCCCCCACTAAGCGAATTAAAAAAATCAAATTTGGATCCACATTAAACGAAAAGCTCAGCACCGAAGCTAAGTAATAAACCTGATGATGACCCAATAAGGGTCGAAATATGTCATGTTAATATTTAATATAAACAACGTTAGTACGCGCACTTTTACATGAATTGTTGTGTCGACTGTTATAAATATACCTTTTTAGAATGACACACAACAGAATACAACATATAAAGTTGTGACGGTTATTTTCGAAATCCTGTTCAGGAAATATGAATGAATCTCTCTTTCTCTCTATCTCTTATAAAATATCTCAATACATCATTTAGATAAAATTATAACTGCATGTTAAGGAGCATCTTAAAGACTAACTTCAGGCTATGCATAAATTGATTTTCTGAAACTTACCGCGTTTTCGCCCATTTTAACTTTTATAACCTCCCACAGGCGTTGCGTTTCTGAAAATAAAGAAAAATAAAAATACTCGAGTATGATACACAGGTGCATATTTACACTCCGACCGTCCAACTTGATACTTTAAGGTCAATTTGTTCCTTTTAGAAATGCAAGGCAAACTCAGCTAATTTCACAGCATAGCAAATCCCATAGCATCTACAATATTATTTCAAAGCTTGTTTAGATCACTGCAATCAAAAGTAAATAAACGTACTGGCTCATGAGTACACGGAAAAGAATCGGGGTTTTACTTCACAACAACTAGAGGAAATTCGCTCAATTATAGAGCAGGTGTGGAGCAGATGACTGAATTAGAACTGGCAGGATAAATTGGAATACTGAGAGAAAACCAGCCCCAGCGCCACTTTGTCCAACACAAATCCCACTAGACCAGACCCGGGACCGAACCCGGGCCCCCGCGGTTGGAAGCCAGCGACTAACGCTTGAGCTATGGCGCGGCCGACAGGATGAGTAAGCTGATTAACTATCTGGGCCATGCTACGGCCTATTGTAACCTGTAGTAAAGGTATCCCTGTAAGAGACCGTGGAGGCCCATAGGGTTGTGAGATGTTGAGGCTACCACGTTTTCTACACAGTCGGCTCAAAGATGGCGTTGAGGTTGTCAGCCTTACGTGCCTGCCGCCCTTTACCCCAAGGAACATGCCTGGTACTCATTTATGTCAGAGGCTGAGCCGACCGCAGGGCCCATAGTGCGGCTACTAGGTTTAGGTAAATTGAAAAAATCCACCTCGTCGGGATTCGATCCCGCGACCTTCCAGCTTGTAGCATAGTGCATCAACCAACTACGCTACCGCGTGTCCTAATTGTAACCTATATTTAATATCAAATTATTTATGCTAATAACTGGATCCATTGTGTTGAAGCCTAGAATTACATCCAGGATAAACAGTGCACATTCATCTCCTGATAGTCTCACTGGTGAAAGGTGACGTCGTGTCTGTAGGTCACGAATCACGAACTACAATACGCTCAGAGCTAAGGGGCTCGTGAATGAGTTATGCCCAGTGGCGTAACTCATATTCTTGTTTTTTGTTCACTTAGGTATCATTTCATTTCTTTTATTGGGACTTAGTCTGTCTGGTGGAGTTAGGACGGTGTATCTTTTCAGTCTATGTGTAGTTTCGCTATTGTCCAATAGGTTCACTGCTAATACATTAATGTGGCTTTCTAATTTTCTTAAGTATTTGGTATTCCGGCGACCGCCTCTGTGGTCCAGTGGTCAGAGTTCCTGGCTACAGATCTAGAGGTCCGGGTTCGATTCCCGGCCCTATCAGATTTTCTGAGAAGCAGTGGGTCTGGAACGGGGTTCTCTCCGGCTCGTGAAGATAACTGAGGAGCTATTTCAAGGAAATAGCGGCTCCGGTCTAGAAAACAGAAATTAACGGCCGTGGGCATCCGTTGCGCTGACCACGCAACACAGTCTATCCGCTAAAGTTGGCACTGACTTCGCCGACAAGCGGCGGTCGCTCAGTTCCCTTGCGGACTAAAACCAGGAAGTTTTTGTTTTTTATTTGGTATTCCACTCTTTATTGCACTATAAGTAAAATTTTATGCTCATTACCTGGAATCTTGGAACGGGGAACAGGAAAGTCCCAGCTAGAACTGGACATCAGTAACCAGCAAGGGAGGAGATGGTAGTTGTAAGACAGGCGTTGAAGTCAGTTAGCAACGTGACGTGTGCAAGAACGAAGTGATTTTGAAATGGGTTTACAAAATATATAAAATGTTTCTGAAGAGAATGGGAATTACAGCAGAAATATATGTACACCTCAGGACTTGTGATATTGAATGACCATTTCAAATATAGGCGGCTTTAAAGGAAGAAAATACTAGTAATATTCTCACGTGTTAGTGACTAGACACGGGATTTGGATTAACCATTTTAATAACACTGTCACTAATTTACACACTCTAGATTAGTCGCTGGTTTCTCACCGTGGCGGCCCGGTTTCGATCCCGGGTCTCGTCAAGTGGGATTTGTGGTGGACAATGTGCCGGTGGGGCAGGTTTCCTCCGAGTACTTCGGTTTCTCCTACCAATCTTCATTCCACCAACTGCTCCACAATCACCCTCACCTATCATTTGGGGCTGGTACAATAGGCCAGAAGTGGCCGCAGTACAAGGGACTTAGTCCCAACCCACTATCAATAAAAAAAAATTACACACTCTACAAATATTTACGGTACGCACTGTATCTTCTCAGTTTGTTATAATCTTCACTGATCGTTGCTAGGTTACGGCTGCTAACAGCGGAGATTCCTCACCGAAAACCACGAACTACAACTGCTCACTTAGAGCTCACAAAAAAGTCAAGGCTAAAGTCACATTGCCCAGTTGGTTCTCTCTTTATAGCCTCGTCACGGACCGCACAGAAAACATCGTGCTCTACAATTCTTCAATTGTTGAGCGATGTGTTGAGACAGCTGTTGCCTGGCAATGGTTCGTGTGTTTGTTACCGCAGGAGCGTGTTTACCGGCCGTTGCCTAGCAATGAATGCGTTTCTTTGGTCCGCTATTTCGGCTTTAACACAGGAGCAGCATACATTGCTAGATAATGGCACAATAAACATGTCACATATCACTGAAGGGATTGTGAGAAATGATGTTTTCTGCGATGTACATGCCAAGGCTATGTAACAAGGACAGACGGAGTATCTCAAAATCATAACATTTAATACCAGTGGCACTGGTAGGCAGCGCTATTAGCTCAGTATACAGCTGCAAAACCTACACATAGATGTGGCTCTATTTTCAGACACACATCCGAAACATCAGGAGAGGTTCGTTGTTCCAGTCGACAGAGGCTTAAACTTGTCGGTGGTCAAGCGTACGATTGTTCAAGTGCCTTTGTAGCATGAGCTACTTAAGATAAGATATGATATGCTGTTCTTGGTCTGAATGACAGAGGCCTTGTATGCAAGGCAGACAATAAAGTTCGCGAACTCGATTCTGTGTTTGCTGTGGCAGCAGAACCTATTGGATAGGAGGGACATATGGTAGCATAATTGGTTGAAGCACTATGGTACAACCCAAAATGTCATGGGTTCGATTCCCAATGTCACTGGATTTTTTTCAATTTACCTAGTCCTTCCAGCTGCACTAAGGCCCTGGAATACAATCAACCTCTAACAGAAATGAGTACCAAGAATCTTTCTGGGTGGTAAAGGAGGCTGGTACATGAGGCTGCAAACCTCAGTGCTGACTGTGAGCTACTTGTCTAGAAAAATGTGGCAACCTCAACGTCTCACAGCCACAGCCTGTTACGGGGTTGACTTTTACCTGTTGGACAGGAGGCTGGATAGGCCTCAAAGCCAGGCTGGATGGAGAGGAGAAAAATCTTACCCCTAGAAGGACCTGAATTCCAACCCCTTGGCCATCCAGCCCATAGGCAGTCTCTGTATCCAACAACAGTATATGACATGTGCATAACCATATGTTCTAATTCCAATAAAGTTACAATGACTTACATTAATTTCACATTCCTGATCTGTAGAACATTGACAAGAGATGGATGATACAGCTGGAAATATCTCCATGTGCTAGAAAATCCACAGAACACTACACTTTCCAATAACAGCATGCTCATTTTAAAAACACTATTACACAGCCAACAGAATTCCAAGTTCTGGACATTAATAACTAGGAAATGGATTTTTTCACCTTGGCTGGAATGTTGATGCCAGATATTAAAAACAGGAAACTGGAACTATTAGACAGAAATGGTATTGACTGATTTTGAATAACACATTTCAACTCTATGTAATTTATATAGAGCAATGATCATATCTTCTTCTTTTTCTTCTTCTTCTTCTTCTATGGCGCAACAGCCCGATGTCGGGCCTTGGCCTCCCTTATCAAGCCCCTCCATTCCTCTCTATCCTGTGCTGCTCTCTTCCAGTTCCTTATGCCCATTAACTTCTTTGCATCTTCTTCCATTGCATCAATCCATCTAGTTCTTGGTTTCCCAGCACGTCTCCTACCACCTATTGCACTGTATAATATTTTCTTTGGGATATGCTCCTTATCCATTCTCTGTACATGCCCAGCCCATTGCAATCTTTTAAATGATCATATCTGTTATGTGTAATGTGGCAACTCATGAGAAGGTTTTTGTAAAATAATGTTGTGGTGTTTGGTAGCTATCTATATTTGGTTTTCAGATGAAAGAAATAAACCTGAAGCTGACATAAATAAAATTATTGCATATACAAAACAAAATTATATCCTAGACATCTGACATGATTTAGTAAACAAGACTAAAAAAGAAACACACAGACTTCAGTATATAAGCCTAATTTAGTGGCAGGGCAGAATAGGTGTCAAATTTCTTTTTACAAATGAATGTTTAATAGTTTCCAGTTTCAGAAAGCAAAAAGGATGTCTGGGGCAGGGAGGTTTAATTGTTCGGTAAAGTTTCACATTTGGATTGTTATGAGGATTGGTTTACCCAGTACTCCAAATGAAGTTCCAAATTCTTACGCACACACATATGCACTCACACTTTAATAAGTTCTAGTTCACAAAGCATTATTACAAATATTGTGGCAGGAAAGTTTAATTCTTTGGTAATGATTGGCGTGTGGATTATTGTGCAGCAGTGGTTCACACAAAGTAACACTTGTGAAAAAATAATGCTTGCAAATTAAACTAGTACAACACAAGATGAATATATTACAGTAATTTATTGTAATGAAGTTACATACCGTTTCAAAATTCCCACATCTCAAAAACTCTGAAACCAAATTAACTTTTAAACAGATAACATCTGAGTCCTGTTACACTAAGTATGCAACTGTAGCACATGGATTAAACACTTAATTTGTAATCATAAAAGAAATACAAATAACTCCATATTAAAATCATTATGGAATCAATGGTACCCCAACATCCTCATCAGTTTCGATTCCAATTTCATTTAAGAGAGCCCTTTTAGAGTCATGATAACCCTCTAGCATAGCTTCTACAATATCCATGCAAACCCTCTTTTTCTTACACCATTCCTTCATGTTGCTTTCATATTCATTTTGTATTTGTTTCTTATCAGTTTCTGATATTTTCACGCTGTTTTTAGAAATGATGTCCAGCTTCTCCTTTAATGCTCGAACCCTATTTTCAAGCACCTTTTTTTCGTTCTGAGCTTCACTGGTTGTTGGTGCCAATTGTAACTCATGGACCTGATTTTCTGAACCCTTCAACACTTGCTCCACTGAGGCGACCTTTTTTGAAACTGCATTCAACTTTGAATCTAAATCCTGCAACTCTCCTTCAAGATCTTTGGCGTTCGTATCCTCCTGTTTAACTACGTAAACTTTTTGTTTGCCGTACACTTTTTCTGTAATTCTGCCTTGTTGCACAAGATAATCCAATGCTTTCTGGACAGAAGGTTTCCTGATCTCTTCATGCAAGTTACTGAAAATGTCATTTGAACTATATGGACGGTTTTGACCACGTAAATATTTTATAACAACCTCTGTTGGATCCATGACTGATACAAACTACGAAGTTTGCAGCGTTGCTACACGTTCAAATTCTCGCCATGCGCGAACTGACCGAGAAACACGTCACAGTCGTCACCGGTCGTCACCGTTAGTGAGCGGTTGTGAGAATATCGAATTCAACAATCGATAATCCGTAATCGATTTGGAATTGTGGGACGTGAATTTACATATATCTTTACCTCACACGTATTATTTTTTTTTTTTAAATACTGACATGTGAACAGTATTTTCAGTAGTTATTAAACGTCGAATATTGTGTTTCTTTTGTGATATAACAGACGGCACCGTTACATTCTTCTTTCACTATAAATCTGTGTAAAAATGTCCAATTTTGAACTGCAGGGAACTAGGCTAAGTGGTAAGCTTAATTCATATCGAAAGGTAAAATAGTTTTCAGTTACGATTCTAGTTACATTTACCTTGATTTGTGTAACATGTAAACGATTAAATTCCAGTGAATGGGGGCACACTGGCGATATTGGCCGGTCTCCACCTCTTCTTTGTAATGATGGACTCTGGTTTCTTAAATAATGTAAACCCAAGATTAGATTTTGAATTATGTTTTTACAATTGAACTTTTAATGTCAGCAAGGAGAAGGGAGCTTGTTCCTCTAGTGCCCCTACAAATTAGAATTTCTCTCATAGATATAACAATAATGATAATTACACACGTGTATGTGGTCAGCATGGGTATGGTTAGGTAGGCTACTTAATATAGATGCATTGTACCGAATACAACAGTGAACACATTAGTTTTCGGTTTTAGTCCATATTTATATTTACATATGCAATGCATTTTATTTGAGACCACTGTCAGATTTAAGACATTTGTCAGATTTTGGTTAAAACAGCATTGTGTTAAGCTAGGAAATGTGCACGTAGCATAACAGTTCTGGTGCATTTGCCACCTTTTATTTATTATTCTTGAAAACCTGGAAGTGTATACTAAACATGAAATATGTGTTTTGCTTTTCTTTACAGCATTTATTCGAAATATCTTTTACTCCAATAAGTAAACTCCTATAGCAGAACTGTCCAGAATTAAACTTCATGAAAATCTTTCTGCCAGTTCTCAAATTTTATATGCAGACAGAGACGTGACCAAAATTATAAATGCATTTTTACCGCTTCTTTTTGTGAACATCCCAAAAATATTTGATTTGTAGAGTTCTGGATTTAAGATACTGGATAATTTGCTTTATTTAATATAAGTACTATGTAGGAGTTGCTTGTAGTGTCATTTGTAGTTGATCATTTCAAAGGATGTAGACTGCAGCCACTTGCTCACACTGGTTTCTCATTCGCGGATTTTTATACCCTGAAGATGAATGTGATACGTTCCTCCAAAATGTCGGTTTACACAATATCTACACAGTGCCACATCCCAGAAGACAGCATTCTTCGTAGACAATCCATCAGGATAGTCAGTGTGATGCTGAGATTCAAACGGTTTACTTCTGAAATACAAAACAAGAGCATTGCTGCTGAGTGAACTTTGCTTGGTTGAGACTGTGTGCCAAACTTCAAACAAGTTGTGTATTGTGATGGCACATCACTATTGGACATTCATGTATCTGACTTCTATATTGTCTTTATCATTTCATCAAGGATGCAATAAATTAGTCTGCAGCCAGTTTAAGGTTAGAAGTCTTGACAGTGTCATATGTTTCATAACTACTAATCGGTTGAGTGAATGTAAGAGTAAAGTCTTAGACTTAATAAATCTACCACCACACAATAAAGACATAAAGGGAAGTGGAGGTATAGCTACACCTTCTTAATCACATCACTAGATGTAGGTGAGTGATCAGCTTCATGCCCCTGTTGCTTTATGCCAAAGGAAACAGCACCTGGTACCCATTGGGTAGGAGGCTGGATGGGCTGCAGAGTTGGTGTGGGTACTGTGGAGAAGGAAAAAAATCTCTTTCCCCGCGCAGGAATCAGACCTTAATTCCCCTGGTGTACAGTCCATAGTTTGCTTAGTGTACTGATTGAGCTGTTGCAGCTTACCATTTGATTGAAGATGTGTCCTAAGTATGAGTAAAATAAATACCATATCAGCATTCATCTGTTTCAGCTATCGAGCCATGGTATTGATTTGTATTTATTTTTCAGAGAGCAGTGAAGATGAAAGCTCGGAGCCCCCAAGGAAGCGGCTGTACTCCAAATTTACTCTGGATGGAACAGGTTTGTTATGATTCCCCAGTTTAAACAAAAAGAACAATACAAATGCCAAATCGTTTCTCTGTTTTCAAGTAATGAGACATATACTATTGATTTATATCTACTTTTCAGAGAGCAGTGCAGATGAAAGCTCAAAGCCTGCAAGGAAGCGACTACACTCCACATTTACTCTGGATGGAACAGGTAAGTATTTGAATGCCCAGTGTAACCAAAGGAATGGTATAAATTATGTTTTATGAGCCTCAACAAATGGATATAATGTCCCCTTTAAGTGCTGCAGTTTGAAATGTAAGACATTACTGACAGTAATCACAGAGGTTGCATAGTATAAGGTGTACATCTTCTTGAACTTCTTGATCACTGTTATCTCAGGTTTGAATTCTGCTCAGGATGTAGATGTGTGTTCACATTATTTTTGTGGAGGTAAAAGGGAGTCACCGATACAGTATATTTGCAAATTTTTTACACTGCAAAGATCAGTAGTCCTAAACATCTTCGTTCTGGAAATCAGTTGCCTTCATTTTGGCTTCATTAATGTTGTTTTCCCAAGGAAACATAACTCATGTTTAATTTGTTTGTTGCATAATATTTTGGTAGAAGTTTTTGGCATTGAACTTGTTAGTTTGTGTAACCTAATTTACACCTATATCATTGATCATAAGAACTGTTGTTGCTTCTGTTGGAAAAAGTGCACTGAAAAAGGGAATAAAATATTCCACACATATATCACATACCACTTTTTGGTTAAAAAAATTGATTTAAGAGTGCATGGATAAATATTATGTAGTGATAATTTACCATCCTTGTTGGTTGATATGCATTAAGAGAATTGCTGTTTGTGGATATTTGTACTCACATGTTCAGTGTCTCACCCAGAAGCACACTAGGGTTTCATTTTGGTTGTGTTTTGAAAATCACTAAAAAAAAATGAGTTTTATTGCCATTTCTGACATGAATGTTGATACTGAAACTTTGCTGTGGGTAACTCATTCTTGTGAGATGAACTGGAGCTTTCTGTTCCTTTCATTTCATGGGGATTTTGACATGTACACACCATTCTCTGAATGTAACGACATTCTCAGTTAAGTTGTATATTGTCACTTGTTAGTGACTTAGATACAGGATTTGGATTGGTTGCTGAATTTATATGATGCCTAATACTGGTGGCCACAAATAATTACAGCACTTTCCCCGTTCTGCACAATTTTCAACTAGCTGTAACACATTCCAAGTCTTTCCATTGTGCTGTGTCTTCATATATCCGTTGCTTGGTAGCAGCTTCCAATAGTGAGGATTCTCTGTACTGTTTCTGTGCTTCCTGGCTCTTGTTCTCAACAACTGGCCATGGTCCTGTTTGTCTGTATGTTAAATTGCTGCTGACCCTCACCAGCAGTCATTTTGTTTCTGGGTTCTGCAGGACTCATGACCATATTTTTCTGTCTCACAACTCTAGGAGTCATGCAGCTATCATTAACTTCTGTGTTTCTCTTAGTGGTATTCATGTTTCAACCAAATAAGTTGACATCAGCATAGGTCAGAGCTGATGTTTGCCATTCAGTCTCAGTCACTTCTAGTTTTTATGGACCTTCCGAATTGGGTATTCTGAAACAAAATTCAAAATCGTTGGAAGTAAACCATTAAATTGGATTGGCATTAGTCAAGAATGTTAATTTTGATTAATTTTGTTAGATTCTGTTCATTGATTAAGATCACAAGAGTGTAATATTTGATTGATTATTGTTTTTTACTTTGCTGTCCTTGATTGAACTTGGTTAGCTCAGTAGAGATTTTATTCTGTCTCAAGTTACTTAATGAGAAATACCCTACCAACATCAGCAGATCATTAATCTCTGAATAAATGATGTATGGTTTATCACAGGTGAACTCTGCTCTTTCAGTTTGATGGATGACCCCCCCCCACATACTTGTAACTCATTTGTTAGACTTGAATTGGGTTAACTTCAGGGAAAGACCTGATGTTCAGTGGTGGAATAGTGTTTGAAATGCTACTTTTATTCACAAGATCATAAGATCACTTAATATCCACAGGTTGCCTTCACAAGTTTCAATTTCAGAGGATAAGTATGTAACTGTTTGGCATACCTCTCTCTCTCTCCTTATTGCTCCCACTTTAGAGCATAGGGCATCTGTAAAATGTTTTGTTTCACTTCAGTTTCTTAATCTAAGACAGTTGGTAGGAGTCCTTGCATGGGATATCAGCCTGTTGCAAGGCCACTACCTACCCACTACAGGACAACACAAATGCAGAATAAACGCAGAGAGGCATGCATTCCTTGAGTGGGATTTGAACCCTCATTGCCAGTGTTCGAGTGGATGATAACAGTTTATGCCTTAGACCAGAGGTCTCCAAACTTTTTGAAACGCGGGCCACATTAGGTAATTCAGCACTTTCAACGGGCCAGATAAAATGAAAAATTAATAACTCTAGGTATGTGAGTTTTATTGAAAGCACAGAATTTCATAAACTAAATACAAAGTACGTGAGAATAAATTATCGTATATTAATGACAACAGACAGTAGCAGCAAATGCTCATATTTTCATCACAAATTATAATAAAACAATTAATGTGAATGATGGAACTCTTTTTGCATTCTTAAAATGTGATTAAATTGAGGTGATGATGATCTGTTACAATTACACTGCAACACTGCAAGAAGTCTTGTGCACAAGACGGCTAGTAACGAACTGCTCGCGCTACCTACATTGCCACGAAGTGCACTGCCAATTGAGGACGAACAAGTACGAAGAAATACCGCGCAGTATACGGTCCAGAATTAGTAAAATTGTGAATAATATTAATATTGTGACATGTTGACCCCTACCTCCCCAGCGGTGCGTGGCGGTGGCGTAACGCTCGCGTTCTTACGGTAATAGGCGAGTTCCCGCCCCGCCACTCCCCTCCGCGGGGACGTCACCGAGGGATATCGCGGTCGC